ACAAAAAAAAAAGTGGTAATAAATTTCTATACTATGACAATAAGGTTTTAACAATGAAGGCATGCCAGTGTGATCAATCAGCTGGACATAGGAAAAATTTTAGGGAAGAATTTTTGAAGCTTTGCCTGAAAGTGCATGAAAAACTTGATTTTTTAGAAGAATATTTGCTCCAGTCATGAAGTCAATTAATCTAATATATTTACAAAACATGCTTTATTCTTGATCTTTTTAAGTGTGAGCATGATAAGAACCTTATTATTATTAGCTTTTATCTACAGTATTTGTTCACTGCAGCACCTTGAAAAATGAAAGGGCATACACACTGATTATTGTACTTGACAGTGCACATGCTCACTAACACGGCTGCTAACATGAAACGTAAAACACTGTTACATCAAATACCATCTAACACCAATCGTACAATAATGTCACGAGTTTTGTTTCAACCACTACATTAAACACCCTTTTTATTTTGATATTCACATTCTTGAATAACTGTTATATACTTGCCTTCGAAGACTGAGGTTGTTTAACTACATAATGTATAGATTTTTTAACTCCGTTAGGTACTGGCCGTCTATACAAGACAAATTTACTTCTTCGTCTACCTTTTTCACCTTGTGGCAAGGAACCATTGTACCTAAGGAGGAAACAAAATTATGTTAATAGCACCATAATTTGCAGCATTGTATTTTTATATCTATCATTATGTTTATGGAGAAATGTCACATGACATACAAGGTTTTATGGCCTTATTTCAAACAAAAGAAACTCAATTACCTGTCTAAAAATGTACAGTAAGTCACATGTATGGTTTCTTGAAAAGATAACACTATGCTTTATATTACACTATAAATTACCAAGTCTGCACCGTGCCATCTTGACAAGACAAGCTGTAAAAATATCATAGATAAAATATATCTTTTATCTCCTATGTTTGAAACACCTTTGCTGTCATTATCAATTACTTTACATTGTAAAAATGATATATAAGACATTCACTTTCTTATTCACAAACACTGCATAAAAACAAGCACAATCAACCTATATACACATACATTACTTCATTTCTTTCCAGTCATTTTGACTTTTTAATGAAATTGTAAGCTCCTAATTAAATTTTCTTTAACTGTATATTATACACCAGTTTTTGTTATACGGTCTTACTGTCCATTATCTTTCTATAGATAAGTCACAATATCATAAGTGTAAGTAATTACTCGTAACTAATATAAATGTAGCATTACTTTTGTGTAACCATTATTTATATGTAAAACCAGAAAACTAAAATGTAGTTCACACATAATCTCTTATTTTCTAAGATGGCCATATAACTGATTGCTATATACGTATATATGATTAAGTTAGAAGCTTTGTTTTTTAATATGTAGTTCATTTAGTTACATTGTTTACTAAATATTATAAACATATTACTTTCAGTTTACTTCTGTCTGCCCCACACGTGCTTAAGATATAGTTTATCAAAATACTGAAAAAAGCAATTTCTCTTAATCTGATAACTTTTACAATTTTAAGTTCAAAATAAACAAATTTAAGACTAGAATAAATGGCTATTTAATGCTATATTCATTGGCTAAAGTGTGGTGGTATGTATTATACACTGATAAAAAAAAAATTAATGTTGCAAAATACCATACACTCACATCCCTTTGGAAGTATAGTGTGAGTGTAGTTCACCTCGGCTCACCGCCCTTATTCCCCTGAAACAGTAACCCCCCCCCCCCTAAGATACATGCATACGTGAACCGTTTTCAAAGCAATTTAAACACTAACTATACCATACACTCACATCCCTTTGGAATTACAGTGTGAGTGTAGTTCACCTCGGCTCACCGCCCTTATTCCCCTGAAACACTAACCCCCCCCCCCTAGATACATGCATACGTGAACCGTTTTCAAAGCAATTTAAACACTAACTATATTGCTCAATCCGATGAACTAATATTTTAAATCAATTGTTGCAGATTTCAATTAAAAATACATCAAAAGAAGTTGGATTATTAAAATTGTTTAATTTATTCTCCAAAAACTACTAAATCTTACTTGTACATGTTTTTCACTCAAACTACTAAATCAATGGTGTCACATTAAAAGGTTATAAACATGTAACTGATAAGTATTTTTATGACCGTGACTATGATGATTAGCTTTTTTTTTCTTGCTGAATAATATGCAGGGTTTCTCAGCAGTGCATGTGCAGGCTAACGAACGCTAACCTACAGATGGAGGTCCATTCACAAATGTATTATAATAATACTCAGTTTTTGTCTGTCCCAAAAATGCACAAGCACTTCATTTCAATCGATGTAAACAAAAGGTGGAAGTAAATATACTTTAGTAGACATTTTGTACAACATATTAACAGCTCATCAGTTTTTAAAAAAGGCCTAACATTAGGTTGTTGAATAACATTATATATTTATTCATTGATAGTATTAAGTGCAGTAAAGCTTAGTCCTAAAGCAAAAAACGTACACAAGTCAGTGTTAATTTATCTCTTTAACAAATACAGACCATAGTTAATAAAGACTTAACTAATGTTAGGCCTAAGACAAGTGGACTTGTAGATTGTGGTGTCCGCGATTACAAATGCTGTTGCAATAAAGGTACTACTTTGACCACAAATGTTTTGCGGGTCTCTGCTAGTCTAAAATAATATTCAAGGACAACCTCTGGAGGAGTTATTACAACACACTGCTGATGGTGATCATGGACTATCACAGTGTACATGAAACCCATAACGTAATGAAACTCTCCACAAAGTTGGGTGTAAATTCATTAAAGTTTCAAAAGAAAAATAAACTTAATTGTTCTTAAAAACCATTGACCTATATATATTCCCCAATTATTTGAAATTACCCATCATTTTTGTTGAAGAGGATAATTAAATTATATTATTTTAATAATTTCATTAACCATCTTCAACCTACAAAGGCTTTTCTTCACATTATAAGTAAGTATAAATCTTTGATAAACTTACATGAAGCTCCTATCACGTTCTTAAACATGTGAACAAGTTCAATTGCCTCAAAATGGTTGGAATAATGTAAATAATGCATAATATTTTTAATATTAAACATTTCAGGTTTATGATATGAAAACAAGTACATATATGCTAAAACCCATTTTCCATTTGTGCCTACTTACAAAACCACAATAACCATGATTAATTAATCATGTCAAATGATTGGTGATTATTACCATCAACAACAAAGACATGATCCTCACTAGCTATCATCATCATCACCATACTGACCAGAGCCATTATCAGACATCACAATCTATCATCTTCATTAACCTAACAATCAACATCATGATAATCAACTTAGGCATTAAAACTAAGATCATATTTATTTTACCATTATCAATAACATTATACTCACCCTGGCCATCATAATCACTATCAACCACACCTTACTATTAATTAATAAGTTACTTATTAACCTTAGTGACAACAACCTAATTAGCATTATCATAATAACCATTAAACTCAACCCCACCACCATCATGATTCTCATGGTGAAGATAATGAACTTCTCAATTACAGCCCTCACCATCATGATTACAACCACAATTCACCTATCATCATAACCAATTCAATCATCATCAACCTCATAAAATAATAATTTTGATTAAT